CTTCAATTCCTAAACCCTAAACCCCAAAACCACTCTGAACCCTAAACCCTAAGCTCTCGGAATCAATCGATCTCGGGCGTCCAGTTTCTGCGGCGCTCGATCCAAGCATTCCGCAGCAGCAAGAAATCCTGCGGTGCATGTAGCGAGGAAGGAGCCTCTCTGCCCACGTTCTACTACTATTATTATACTCAATTATATTGCATTATACCACATTACATTACATTTTTCATATATTATACTATATATTATGTCATACGATACTGCATTGTTGTAATAGATTATACTGAAGTATTCCAACACATTCTATTGCGGAGCATTATATTCCACGTACTATATTATTCTTATATCATTGCCTTTATTATCGGAATCTCTTCCGTAGTTTGGCCGGGACAGACCTTCCACAACTTACTCAGAAGTCCCTCAACCCTAAACCCCAAACCCAACCCTCAAACCTAAACCCTACACCCCAATGATCAACCACCGTCCAGGCCGAGCACGAAGAACCCCAGGAGGAGGGCGTCTCGAGTGCGGCCCGTCCAGCTCTGTGGTTCTCTGGGCATGCGAGGCCTGGCGATGCGGAAAGGAGGGGGAGACTTCCACACGGGTCTCCTGCAGATTTTGGCGGAAGTTCTAACTTCTTCAATGGCGGAAGTTCTTTCATGGATACCTACTCCGTAGTGGGGGAACTTGCATGTTGCATTCGCGAATTCAAAGTTCAAGCATTCAGGCACACCTTCAGCCGTGCATTCCAGCTTTGGCACATCGAGCGATGCACCTTCCATACCGCCCGAAAATCGCGATGCGAAAGACCATCAAGAGCGTCATGACCGCAGTGTCCTCCCACTCGTTGGTGCAGGAATGGGTTCTAGACTTCGTGGCCGCAATGTTCAGTCTCTGCGCAGACTACGGCACCCTCACCCTCAAAGTTCAGCTTCACTGTCCGTGAGGAGTCCGCCCGCAAGCTTGTGATCATCCGGTCTCAGCAATGCCAGGAAGCAAGCGAAGTTCATCCTCGAGCCGCGAAGACAGGAATACAACTGCTGCAGTATCACACCACGGTAGAGCAGCACCAACGTGTGGGACAGGATGTCGATCAGAACCCACTGACACTCAACGCGAAGCCCCGCGGTGAACCCTATGTCAGCCTATGGTCCATGTCACATCAGCCAAAGGTCCACGGCTGGGCAAAATATGCCAAGAGCACAAGCAGAGGGGGCACCCGATAGTCACAGGACGGCATCGGCCATCGAATCACAGAGCTGCAGTGGAGTGCTGCCCCTAGGCAGGACTGCCTCAGCGCTTGAAGAATTCCCCCCGGAGCTGTGACGAAGGTCCCTCACCCCTCAGCTTTAGGAGTGTTGGAGGCCCCAAACAGGCATCCATGCAACTCTTGATCTTTTATACGAGATGCTAGGGGCTGTTGCGCGCTCCATATTGATGTGGCTCTTGGCTGCATGTGAGACCAAGCCTATGAGTCGATAACAGTACGTTGACAGAGTATATTGCTACAACTTACAAGAGCAGCATCCGGGCATCAAAGACAAGTCCGGTGTCTCGACAGTGAGTGATGCAGCCTCGGCAAAGCATGAATCCCGAAGTTGGCCACAACTTTTGCCCCAAGGTGCAGCAATGCAAGTCTGCGCAGTACGGCCATGGCATCATCACCTGGCGCCCTGGCAAAGCACTGCGGTAGTGGCTGATGCGAAGTGACTGGGTCTCTTCGTTCAGGGTCCCAAGCTTATCAGACGTTTGGAGAGGCTGGAAGGGGCGCAGAAGCAAACCAGGAGCCGCCAGACCACCTAACGAACACCTAAACCCTACACCCTAAACCCCTAAACCCTAAACCCGAAGCCGCCAAACCCCTAAACCCGAAACCTTAAACTCCAAACTCTCAAAGCCCCGATGCCCCCAAAAGGGACTCCAAGGGCTTGCAAGACACTCAAACTGCGGCCCCCCGGCCCCTCTGAGCATCTTAAGTAAGGTTTAGGGTTTAGGGTTTAGGGATTAGGGTTTAGGGTTTAAGGTTTAGGGTTTAAGGTTTGGGGTTTAGGGTTTCTTAAGTAAGGTCGAAGGGCGGCAGCGGAAGCAAACGCAAAAGGGCTGCCAGGACCAGAAACAAGCTCAGCCCACCTTAGTCTCTTGGAGTTTCTGTGCAGACAAACCATCTCCCCGAGGGGGGGGGAGGAGGCTCTTGGATTGTGTGGCTTTCTTGCTTGGTGAAATTGCAAGAAGATCTAGACTTCAAGGGCCCCCCTGACCTGCTGAAGCTTCTGCAAAGTTGTGTCTCGGTGGCTGCTGGCGGAAGGATGCAAGGCCTTTCTTAAAGATTTCAGCTTAGGATCAGGGAATAATATAAGGTCACGATGAGGTTCCCAAAAGGTTATGTACCACAAGGTTGCTAAACTCCGACACCTGAAGCCGGCAAGCAGAAGCTCTTCACCCGGCCGCCCTGATGCCCAGAATCACCTAAATCCCAACACTCGAAAACCTTAAGCCCTGAACTCCAAACCCCAAATTCCAAACCCTGAACCCTAACCTATACACCCTGCCGGAAGCCCCTTCGTTCAGCCCTACAAGCCATAAACACGACGCAACCCCTGAGCCCTTATCCCTCTCCCTAGCGGTGCAAGGAGGGCATGCGTGAACCGGAGCATCCTAGCTCAAAGAGGTTGGGTCATCGGTTCTGCAGATAGCCATATCCATTGCATACACGCGTACATACCTACCTACCTACCGACCGACCGACCTACTTATTGTATGCAAGCATGTATGTATGCATGCATGTGTGCATGCATGTCTGTATGTCTGTCTGTATGTCTGTATGTCTCTGTATGTAGGTATCCGTATGTCTCCTTTTTCTCGTGCTCTCGCCAGGCTCGAGGGGCGACCCCCCTGTTGGGGCACGCCCGATTGTTGGCGAGATGCGGAGTTTCTGTCTCTCTCTCCTCTCGCACGCACTCTCTGCGGATATTTCTCTCTCTCTCTCTCTCTCTCTCTATATATATATATATGTGCGTAGACGCATGTACAGAAAGAGGTGATTGGGATGTGTCGTAACTTGTGGTGCTTCTTTGCCAGTGGCTGTCGTAGGCGAGGGCAGCAAGGCGCCGAGCAGAACCCAAGGGGCGGGCGATGTCACTTGTGGTGCGCCTTGGACGGAAACCCAACCCACACAAAGCCCAAAGCTCCATCGACCCTGAGCCCTGCACGGCTGAAAAGACATCCGACCTATGAAGGTGCGTCTAGCGCCCAATGTCCCCACAACTACCACACTCTCTAGCATGCATGGCTTACGCTTTGGAGTATCGGGGTCGCCGCTACTACTGAGTACTTACCACAGTAGGTGCACTTAAAAGTGATCAAGCCGACGATCATCACATGACAATCATCTTCGGAATCTTGGTTAGCTATCATCGTCATCATCATCATCACCACCATCATCATCATGAGCGCCAGCGTCGCCATCATCCCAACATCCCAACAGTGGAGGAGACATGACAGCTACAGCACTGGCCCGGCCAGCCTGCTGGAAAGGATGTCGAGACCTGCGCACAGATTAACAGATGTACCCTTGACACGCTGAGGCCTTCAACTCCCCTTCCTTCGGTTCGGGGGCATTTTTTTGCCTTTTGGGACCTTTGGCGAAAGATGTGTGGGGGCCTTTGGGGATTGGGCGTTTCGGGCCTCTGGGCGTTTCGAGGATTCTCCGATCCCCGACCTGAGCCATCGGAAGCCGGTGGCTTCAAACTTCCCCGACCCGCCCCAGACCAAAAAGCTCCCTTGCCCTGCTTGTTTGTTTTTTGTTTTTTCGGAAAGTTGGAATCGTCAGCTACAAGCCAAAGTTGGGATTGAGAAGTGGGGAAGATCTCAACGCCCCTCCGACGTCCCATCATAGCCACCACAAGCAGACTCGCAGTCCTCGATCTAACCCGAAACCCCGAGCCAGAAGTATCCCAGGGCCGTCCGTACGCATAGACCCTACGACCCTCATCGTAATAAGAACCGCCTAAACCTTGTACTCCAAAACCGAGAGTCCGAACCCGACCCCCCTTTGGGCCTAAGAGCTCGGTGGTGATCAGGGTCGACAGGAGCAGCTGAAGCGCCACGGAGGCCGAGGAGGTCAGCCGCTCGAGGACGCAGCTCTGAGCGAGGGAGGCGTTTCATTGCCCTTTTCGGTTGAGGGTTTAATCCTGCCTTGGGCTTGCTTATCGATCTCTATATATCGGGCCTACAAAGGTGTCTCAACAGAACAGGCGCGGGTTCTACAAGTCTGGCTATTCCGCTTCCGACTGCGAAGAAGCTTTCTGCCCAACACTGAGTAAATTTGTATTGGTAGTGGGAAGAGGGGCAAGCGCAGCAGTAGTAAATTAGTAGCAGTGGTTGCAGCGACGGCGCGGCAAACCTCTTTGAAAAGCAGACATGGTTGCACTGGGTCAAGCCGGAATGAGCTCCCGGCCACCCACCACGGGATCCAAATCATGATATTTCCTTGGGATTTCGCCAAAGTCTTGGGGTCCTAGAGAATCTGTTCATTGGGAGATCGATTCGGCGTCCTGCAAAGGAAGCATGGCACCCTGTTGGATCCAAGAGGCTCAGTAAACCAAACTCCTTGAGAATTGTGGTCTTCTTCTTTGGAGACCGCTTCTTCTTGCGTGGCCACCACCTGCAGATCGGCTTGTGATTGAGGGTCATGGGCTTTGGGGGATTCTGGTGTGCGGTGTCGAGCCTTGCAGTCATCTATCCATTGAGGACAATTTACCAACATGACTACAGCAGCGTGGTATCACAATGAGCACAGGAGCAAACCTAATGATGCCCATGAGTTGCTCTTTCTTTTTGCCTCCAGCATGTTTCGTCCCAGCACATCCAACCCTTCATGCAAGCTGGCCAATCATGTCCCCCGAGGTCCTCGTGAAGAGCTTGACGCCATCCTTCGACTTTTTCGGCGGCAGCTTCCACTTAGGAACGCGTGGTCTGGCGGGTGCAGGCACCGGGCTCGCCCCCGGTGCGCCGGTCTGTGGCGCCGGCACAGGCGCAGGCGCCATGAGGGGACCCCGTCTTGCTGAAGATCAGGAACGGAGCGATTCGGTGTGACATCAACGTCTTGCAAGGAGAACCGTGGCGATGCTGGCTAGGCTCAATTTTCGGGTTTAGGGTTTAGGGTTCCAGAACTCGTGCCTTCAACTTCTGAAGGAAGGGGCCGGACCTAGTCTTGTTCGATTGTCGTGTTGATCTACCAACAGTCATGCTTGAACACGCTTTGCCAAAGCGCCCAACATGATGCACTCACGTACAGAAGCATCACGACTCGTGAAGTCGTCCGAACACGCTGCCTGCCTGAACAAGTGTAAATGACGCCTCTCCGTTTTGGGCTTCTCGCCACTGAAAGGCCGCACCCTCTGCAATCATCAACAAATCTAAACCTCTGGACCCTCTGCTTCACAAGAAAGCATTCACCATTGCTATCCCCTGATCACTGGAGAAAACCCGAAACACCGAAAGCACTTACCCATCTGAAGGCTCGGCACGCACAGTAGCTAGCAAGTTCAACACCTGCATGGATCCCAAGGCCTGCTGCTGAAGCAAGCACTGCAAGACAAACTACTTCCATGATATGCAAATACTGATCCCAGATACCACGCTAAGCTCCGCGGAAAATTACCGCATCCAGCCTTGATGCAACCCTCCAAAAAACCAACTGCTAATCTGTGCCTTGCGACAGTATGAGTAGTAGGGTGTGCTGCTCCGTGTGGAGCATGCTTTATCGGGCGTTCTCACTGCAAGTCACGAGGCAATGTTGCGAACGCCCTAAACCCTGAACCCCAGAACCCTAAAAGCTTAAGCTGTAAACCCTGCAAACCCTAAACCTCTGGCAAGTCGGGATGACGGAAAGTACAAGAGGCTGGAGCAGAAGAGGTCTTGCGAGGACCAGGGTGTCCTAGCGTTTGGGGCCTTAGGGCTTTAGCGTCAGCCAAAAGTGCAGGAATCGGGAACCGGCGCTGCGCGAATCTCTCTCTGTGTGTGTGTCCCTGTCCCTGCAGTCTTTCAGCTTGAACTCTTGTCCGGAGCCAACGGTCTATGTACAGAACGCGGTTTTCACGTTCGGGTGGGTTCCAGGCTTAGCATTAACAAGCAGCACCTCCCAACAACGTGGCACCGACATGCAGGCAACACATGTACATGATACACCTTGGTTGATTAACTGTTTTAGTATTAGAAAGAGAAGACAAATTCTTGTATATCTAATATTTTTCCATAATTTGAGTTGATATTCTACTGGCACGAAGTTCCGGGTCTGCAGCTCGCTCCAATTCCTCAGTCGAAGCCTCCGACAGAGAACCTGGCAAATGGCACGGCCTCTAGTCTCATGCGATGCTGAAACAAAATCAAACAAAAACACCAAAGCCTCCCAAGAAACAGAAGCGGAGACCCCGAAATCTCTACCACGCCTTCATTGTTGAAATCAGCTGAAACCAGAGAGCTCTGCTTTTGTAAGTCCTCAACTCCAACGAAGCACCCAGACCCCCTCGAAGGTCCTGAACCCTGAGACCCTGGACGTGCGCTGAACACAGGAACCGCAAAACCTCTTCGGGCTCATGCATACCCTGCATACCCCTTTTAGGGTTTAGGGTACCCCTGATACTTTCGAAAATTTCACCAATATGGCCACAACCTGCATGCTGTTTGTATCTAGACATTGCCAGTGGAGAGCTCTGCAAAAAGTCAAGCTTACCATCATTGCCGTCATAATAAGCAGTCTTGAGCATTCAGGGCTTTTGGAATTAGGGTTTGGGCTATAGAGGGTTGACTGATTTTGGTGGCGTTTTTGGTTTGGATTTCTGTGATTTGGGTGTAACACCTCCAGGGCAATTGCCCCGGGCGGTAAGGTCCCGAAAGGACACGTACAAGCAGGAAGGGCAATGACAAGTAATCATGACTGGAGACGGCGTGGAACCGCAATCCACTAACTGTCATATATGGTGCCCCAAACATCCTTCAAGCACTAAAAACCTACAGCTCTGAAAACCAACAAAGCCCTGTCTGAAACCCGGCTCAAACATGCAGCCTCCGCGCATTGGGCCGCTTGTCGCTGGACCAAGCTATGAGACCTCGGGGTAGGGAGGGTTCAAGGGGCTTAAATACATAATATGTACATACACACACATACAAAAAAAAAATATATATATACAAGTAGGGCCCTTGGACTTATAGGACTTATAACATGACTTATGGAACTTATGTTATACTTATGTTGAGGTATATTGGACGACTTATAAGCTAACTTATAAGTTCCATAAGTTTTCCATAAGTTTTTT